AATGATTTCTACCCATTAGTTATTCATTGAGCAAACATTATTGTGCTGTGCTTCAGGCAAGGCAATGGGTAGGTAGGGTCTTTTAAATTTTTAAAATTTATTTGAGAAGGAGAGAGAGAAAGAGAGAGAGAGAGAGAGAGAGAGAGAGAGAGAGAGAGATCTCATCCCCTGGTTCACTCCCTAAATGTCTGCCTTGGCTATGACTGCCTTGGCCATGACTGGGCAGGGCCCAAGCTGGGAGCCAGAAACTCAATTTGGGTCTCTCACGTGGGTGGCAGGAATCCAATCAATTAAGCCATAGCTGCTAACTCCCAGGATCTACATTAACAGAGAGTTATTGTCAGGAGCGAGAGCTGAGAACTGAATCCAGATACTATGAATGGATTGTGGGCATCTTAACTGCTAAGCCAAGTGTCCACCCCAACTGGATGGGGTCTTAATCCCCCCATGGACATACAAGGCTGCCCCATCACTCTGTCAACTGAATGCCATAATCTCAAGTTCTTGCATCCAGGATCCGCCCTTCGCAGGCTTGACTTTGCCAGGCTCTGTCTTTGGCCCAGCAGCCTGTGCTATGACTTCAACCCCTGCCCGAGGCCTCCAGGAGCTCCATGTGGGAGGGGCTCCTTTCCCAGAAGCCACCTTCTTGAAGGTCACGACTCAGACTGGATCAGTTCTAACTCCCAGCAGGTCTGAATTCCAGCAACACATGCTACTGAAACATGGGCTTCCAGGGATCATCTCCACACTGATCTGCTGTCTTGTAGACTTTTTTTTTTTTTTTTAACCAATCAGCTGCAACTCATGAAATTATAATGATCGACATAGTGAGCAACAACCAACATTTGAAAACATGAGACAGGTAAACAACCAACCTGTGCTGTCTGACATCTGGTTTACTCCTTTAAGAACACATTTATTGTTAGGGTGCTCTGGCCAACACCTGCAGCCTCCTGCAGTCCCAGGTACTTCTGACCGCCAAGGGACATACACTGCAAGGGGCTGAACCATAGTTGAGGTTTGTACCATCTGGCAGCTTGGGAAAGGCACATGGAGGTCTGGGGGTGTGGGCTGTCATGAGAAACCTTCTAGCTACTGTCTTTAAAGCTTGGACTTAGCCTTCACTGATAACATTCATGGCAGATTTGTCGCCATCTGGGCCGCATCTCCAGTTTGGTGACATTTGTCGAAGACTTGCAGCACATCTTCTCCTATATCAGCATTGGAAGAGGCTGTGGTGCAGTTCTTAGACTTGGAGACCTAGTGGCTTAGTTTGGGCTGCTATAACAGAATATATACTGAGTAACTTACAAACAACCGAAATTTTTGCTCACAGTTCCAGGAACTCTAAAGTCAAGGTTCCAGCAGATATTTTTGTCTGGTGACAGCCCATTCCTCAAAGCTGGCACCTCTGTGGGTCCCTGAAGCCTTTTTCATAAGGGCACTAATTCCACTTACTAGGCAGAGCCTTGGGGACCCAATCACCTCCTCATAGCTCCACCTAACACCAGCACCTGGTTTTGGGGGTGGTAGTGCACAAACAGACCACAGCACCCAGTCTTCCCCATTCCAAGCCCTGGCAGCTGGCACCAAGTCCTCTGAATACACCCAGCATCCAATAACATGTTGCATAAACTGTTAAAATTAAAGGAAGCTGTCCGTGCAGCGAGCCCAAAGCTGCAGAGGGGCCTTGTGACTTTGTTCATCTTTCATCATGACCTTACTTCCCTCTGACTTAAGCCCACAGGATCTCAATCCAGCGAACACCAACCCCCACACCTCACTTCCTCTCACGGGTGTGTGTGTGTGTGTGTGTGTGTGTGTGTTGTGCCCCAGTCCCCAGGGCCTAGGCCCTCTCACCACCCCTGGATTTTGGAACACCAAATGAATATAGTCTGGCATTGCTGAAGTGCCTCTTGGTTCTCCAAACGTTTGCAGAAAGGACATTCTAATCAAATTTGTATTGGGGGAAAGGCAGTGAAGAGCACATTTCTGGCAGTAAGAGATGCACAGGAAGCAAGGCAAAAGCAGCCAAGCCTACTTCTGAATGCCACGTGGCAGCACGGCTGTGCCGGAACCCAGCTGCAGCTGCTGCTCTCTGCCCCCTTATCTTGAGCCTACAGTGCATTCTGGTGGCCTCAGCGCTACTTCTTACTGAGGTGTCGAAATGAGGCTATTTTGAATACACCAACCCCCAAACAACATTAAGCATTTGAGGAATATTCTGCAAATGGCTTTTTATCTACAACAAGGCTGCATTTCACTCATCTGACGTAATGGTTCCTACTTGTCCAAAAAGTTCAAATTGGGTCAAATTAATGAGGAAAAAAGTCACAACTGGAAGTGGTGCTCACACTGAAGTGTGGCTATGTGTAACAGCTGCTGTGCAGAGGTGTGCATGGCTGGCTCTCTGCCGGCAGAGGTGCTCACTGAACAGTCAGGTGCTTGGTCCGGGAGAGATGGAGTAGTCCACAGGCTAATCCATGGATACGCGTCCCAACCCTGAGCCCACTCATCACACCGGGCCCCAACGTACCCCAGACCTGTTCTCCGCAGGAGCCTCCCTGTCCCCATCGCCCCTTCGCGTGAGGGGCCCGTCGCCAGCAGGCCCACCCGGGTGACAGAGCCCCTGTTCCCCTGAGAAGCGAGGCCCTCAGGCCCCCACACAGGGATCCGGCTCGGTGCGGGTCTGCAGGTCCAGAGAACAGGCGGGTCATGGGCACACTTCTCTCTGCTGGCCTGGCGCTATGTTCTCAAAAAAGGGCAGGACGGCTGCTCTACCGCTCCCGGGGACCCCCGGCGCCTGGGGTCGTCTCCCGCTAAGCGGAGTCTTCTCCGAGGGCTGCTGGGGGAGGCGCCGACGGGGGACCAGCGCCAGCGCTGACTCAGGACGTGAGGCCACCGCGAAGCCAGCAGCCGATCGCCCGGCCTGGGCTGACGCCAGGGACACAGCGAAGGCCCGGGGACTCCCCCGCGCGCTCGAACCCAGCAGCCCAGCTCCGGCCCCGGGTCAGTCAGGGCCTCCACGTCCACCTGCCCTTCCGGAGCCACTTCCCGTCCTCAGCCCCTCTCCCGCGCCCCGTCCCGCTTCCTTTTAAGGGCGCCCCAAGGTTATCAGGTTTTGGGTTCCAGTCACCACCCAGTGGGAACGCAGGCGTCCTCCTCACAGATCCCGCCCCGTCACTCAAACATGCGGCCTCCTCACAATTTCCCCGCGGTCAAGCAAACGTTTGCTTTGCCGACTTCGCAGCGCTCGGCAGAGCCCAGGCGCCGTCTACGGCAGAGGCCGGCCCCGACCGAGGGAGTCGCCGGCCCCGGCGCCCGCCCCGAGCCCCGCCCCCAGAGCCTGGCGCTGCGCGCGTGGGGAACTGGGCCCTCCACTCCGGCCTCGCCCCCGCAGGATCGACACGTCTCGGCACCAATCGGAGGAGGCCTGACCCCGGCCCCGCCCCCGCCCCCCCCCCGGCGCTGCCCGCGCACGCGCGCAAGCAGCGACTACGGGGCTCGCGGAGCCCGAGCAGGACGCGGGGCGTCCTGAGGAGACCGGAGGCCATGCGGGCCCGCGGGGCCCGCCCGCTCGTGGTAGGTGCGGCGGGGGCGCCGTCGCCCCGGTCGCTCACGCTCTGGTCCCCGCGGACCCGCCTCCGGGCGTTGCGCGCGCGCCTGCGGGGCCGGGCGGCGGGCGTAGAGGAAGGCGTTGCCGGGTCCCCGAGTCCTTCGCGTCCGCTCGGCTGCCTTTCGAGCCCCGAGCGCTCCGTTCCCCGGCGCGCTCACCGGGCTGTGAGGCCGACGGAGCGAGCGCACCGCCCGGACCGCGGGAGCGCGGGGAGGCCCCGCGCTCGCACTGCGGCGCGAGGTCGAGCAGGGTCTTAGGCAGAGGCCGACGAGGCACTGCCGGTTTTGAGACAAGTAATCGTACCCTGGGCGGGCGTTCGGCGCAGCAGTGGGGACGCCCCTCGGGGCGCCGCGTCCCGCCCGAAGACCCTCCCGCAGTTCCAGATCGCAGGTTCTCGCTAATGCACGTGCTGGGGAGACAGCAGCTGGTGGCCTGGGTAGTGAGGCGCTGGCTGCCCACGTGCGACACCCGGTCTTGGCGGTTGGCGGGCATTTGGGAAGAGGACATCCGAGGTCTCTGTCTCTACCGTTCAAACAAGCAAAACCCACACGTATATATAAAGGAAGCCCAGAGCAGTTGTTTTATGGATAAAAGTGAAGCTCTGCCGGGTCAGATCCTTGTTTCATTTGCAAAGAAACAGTTGCATTTTCAACACTCCTATCTGTGAGCTTTTTATAACAGTATTTGCATTTACTGTTTTCTTTTTTTCTAAGATTTATTTATTTATTTGCAAGTCAGAGTTACACAGAAGGAAAGGCACAGAGAGAGAGAAGTCTTCCATCTGCTGGTTCACTCCCCAATTGACTGCAACAGCCAGAGCTGTGCCAATCTGAAGCCAGGAGCTTCTTCCGGGTCTCCAACGGGAGTGCAGGGAGTGGGCCATTTTCTACTGCTGTCCCAGGCCATAGCAGAGAGCTGAATCGGATGTGAAGCAGCTGGGTCTCGAACCAGCACCTATATGGGATGCCAGTGCTTCAGGCCAGGGCGTTAAACTGCTGCACCATAGTGCCGGCCCCTGCATTTACTATTTTAAAAATCATATCTAGGGCTGGTAGTGGGTAAAGCCTCCATCTGTGGTGCCGGCATCCCATGTGGGTGCTGGTTCGTGTCCTGGTTGCTCCTCTTTCGATCCAGCTCTCTGCTAATAGCCTTGGAAAGCAGTGGAAGATGGCCCAAGACTTTGGGTGGCTATACCTACGTGGGAGACGAGGAAGAAGCTCCTGGCTTCTGAGGCTGTTGTGGCCATTTGAGGAGTGAACCAGCAGGTGGAAGACCTTTTTCTCTGTCTCTCCCTCTCACTGTAACTCTATCTCTCAAATAAATAAAGTCTTTTAAAAAATCATATCTATTTTTTTTTTTTTTGACAGGCAGAGTGGACAGTGAGAGAGAGACAGAGAGAGAAACGTCTTCCTTTTGCTGTTGGTTCACCCTCCAATGGCCGCCGCTGCAGCCGGCGCACCGCGCTGATCCGATGGCAGGAGCCAGGATCCAGGTGCTTTTCCTGGTCTCCCATGGGGTGCAGGGCCCAAGCACCTGGGCCATCCTCCACTGCACTCCCTGGCCATAGCAGAGAGCTGGCCTGGAAGAGGGGCAACCGGGACAGAATCCGGCGCCCTGACCGGGACTAGAACCCGGTGTGCCGGCGCCGCAAGGTGGAGGATAAGCCTATTGAGCCACGGCGCCGGCCTAAAATCATATCTATTTTATACACACACTGGAGTATACACACCAAAGGTCTTCAGATAGTTCATGGAAAATGCATGTTATGAAAACACTGCAAGGATTTCAAAATTTTTTGCACCAAAATAGACTTAGCATTAACGCCATTTCTATGAATTTTAAATTAATATTTAAAAACAGATTTAGATATTTGTTTGAAACAGTGACTGAGAGAGGTCTTCCATCCACTGGTTTACTCCTCAAATGCTGGCAACTGCTGAGACCGCCACACTGAACCCAGGAGCCAGGAACTCAATCCAGGTCTCATGTAGGTGGCAGGGATCCGAGTCCTTGAGCCATTATCTGCTTCCCAGAGGGGGCCTTAGCGGGAAGTTGGATGGGAAACAGGGTAGCCAGCACTGAAAGCAGGTACTCTGATGCAGGATGGAGGAACTCAAGTGGCGTCTTCACTGCTGCGCCAGACAGTTGCCAGTTTTCCATAAATACTCATCTGTGCATATGAGGCACATGCACTCACCTGACCCCTGTTCTTGCTTGTGTTCTGTCTAGGAATTTGTCTCCTTCATTAGGAGATAGGTGTGTGTGTATATATATATATATATATATACCTAAAGGTGAGGACAGACTAATTTCTGTGGTTGTTCTCTGTTGCCTTATGTGTAAAATGAAAAGTTTATTCCTATTTTCAGTTGTTTTGAGTGATAGATTTCATTGACTACTCCAGAAAAGCTTAGAAATTTTTGTTTTACTTGTTGGGCTCCAAGAAAATACAGAGCTTGTGCCAAGCCAGCTAAAATTGAGTGTAAAACACAGAGGACTCACTGGGCACATTGACTTTGTGGGGCATTGTGGGAATGGTGCCCCTCACACTTTACGACAGTATTGTAGGGTTGGTGCTGTCACACTTTACGGCAGTCTTGTCAGGTGCTGCTTCCCGTACTTTGACAGCAAAGTACCTAGGTGGTGCAGTGTGTAGTCGTGCCCTGCTGGGGTTGCACTGTGTTGGTGTGGCACTGGGTAGGTTCTTCTCTGCGTAGGTGGTGCAAAAGGGGTTACTTTTTTGCAGTTTCTTTAACACTGTGGTTTGTAACAAAGCTTATTCCACCCAAAAAAGGACAAATGAGTTCTTTTCAGGAAGGGGTTGAGAACACACTGCTAGTTGCATCCAGAATAATGTTTCTGAGTTGCAGTTGGAAGCGCAGGAATTTACTGTTGAGCTGGGAAAAAATGTTGTTGCTTCCAGACTTTTTTCCCCTTTCAGCAACATTTTAAAGACCAATTCAGGAAAATCTAAAACCTAAATCTTTTTTTATAAATAAAATGGGTTTATTTATTTATGAAAGGCAGGGCTACAGAGAGAGAAGGAGGGACAGAGGAAGGAAGAGAGATAGAAAGAGATTTATCTGCTGGTTCACTCCCCAAGTGGCTGCAACAGCAGGCTGAAGCCGGGAAGAGCCTGGGACTCCTTCTGGTCTCCCAGGTGGGTGACTGGGGCCCAGGCACTTGAGCCATCACATTTGCAGGGAGCTGGTTTGGAAGTGGAACCACCAGGACTCGAAACTGGCACTCTGACGTGGGATACTAGCATTGCAGGTGGCCGCCTAACCCCATGCCGCAGTGCCTGCTCCCAAGACATGTCTTCTGGAGCAAACGCATGTTAAGAGTTTGGAGAGAAGGAATAAACCGCTTTCATTTGTCAGGGACACGTGCTTTCCTGGGAAGCCTTATTCTTGGTTGCTCTGTAAATCAAGCTTTGCCATGCAGAAGTGAGCACTGTGTGGATAGTGAAGGGGAAGTAGGTTAGAGCGGTGGAAAGGGAATTCTGTTTGTTAATCCATTTCTTTTGAATTTCAGTCCATTATCCTCCCAGTCTACAATGCTGAGCCATGGCTGGATGAGTGTTTGAGTTCTGTTTTGCAACAGGACTTTGAAGGTGCCCTGGAACTCTCTGTCTTTAATGATGCCAGTCAGGTATTTGTAACTTTTCTTGGGTGATTTAGTGCTGATGTAAGTTATGTTTGACTGTTCCAAAGGATATTTCCTGACTTTTGGACGTTGTATTTTCAGGACAAGTCTATGACTATCATTGAAAAATGGAAAGAGAAGCTAGAAGAGTCTGGTATCCTCGTGGTTGTTGGAGGGCACAGTTCTTCTTCTCCCCGGGGAGGTGAGTTGGAATGTTGAGTTTATTAAGCTGATTCCTGGTTCCTCAACTTACATCTTTAGATAGTCTGATGTTGTTCAAGTACTAGAAAAAGCACCTTGGTTATAATTAGGTCTGCCTCTTGTTAAGAATACACTAGACCTGAATTCCTATTCTTTGGTAAAGATTTGTTGTTACAATGTGATTGTGACCCCTCTCCAAATCCTATGTTGAAACCTAACCCCAGTGTAATGGTGTTAGGAGGGGGCCCTTCTAGAAGGTGTTTAGGTCATGAGTATGGAACTTCATACATAGAGGAGTGCCCTTCAGAAGAGGCCCCAGTGACTGGCATTGTATCTGGTTAAGCCCCAGCCTGCAACGTTGGCATCCCATATGAGCACCAGTTCGAGCCTTGGCTGCTCCACTTCTGATCCAGCTTCTTGCTAATGACCTAGGAAAGCAACGAAGGATGGCCCAAGTGGTTGGGCCCCTGTACCCACCACATGGGAGACCTGAAGGAAGCTCTTGGCTTCAGCTTGGCCCCATCCCATCCTGGCTGTATGGCCATTTGGGAAGTGAACCAGTGGATGGAAGATCTCTCTCTGTTTCTCCCCTCTGTAACTCTGCCTTTCAAATAAATAAATCTTAAAAATGGGGGCAGGGCAAAGGAGACTTTGCTCTCGGTCCTTGTGAGGACATGGGGATAAGACACCTGGGTAAACTAGGAGGTTGGCCCTTACCACACACTGAACCTGCCACTGCCTTGATCTCGGACTCCCAGCCTGTAGGACTGTGGACACATTTCTGTAAGGCACTCAGTCTGTGGTGTTCTGTGGCAGCACGTGGGTTACTCCAGTGTACTTCCCATCTCTATAGATTTGCCTGTTCTGGACATTTCATATAAATGGAATCATGTGTGATGTGCTCTTTTGTAATTGGCTGCTGTTATTTAGCATAAGGTTATTAAAGTTCATCCACGTTATGACCTCTGTCAGCATTTCATTGTTCTGTGGGAGAATTAAATTCAAGTGTATGCATATATCATCTTGTGTTTGGCTACTTGTCACTTTTTGGTTATTGTGAGTGGTGTTAACATTCATATACAGGTTTTTATTTGAACATTGGCTTGCTTGCCTGCCTACCTTCCTTTTCTATTTATTTATACATTTATTTGAGAGGTTGAGTTACAGAGAGAGAGAGAAAGGTCTTCCATCCACTGGTTCACTCCCAAAATGGCTGCAATGGCCAGAGCTGGGCCCATCCAAATCCAGAAGCCAGGAGCTTCATCCAGGTCTGCCATGTGGGTACAGGGGCCCAAGCACTTGGGCCATCTGTTGCTGCTTTCTTAGACCATAGCAGAGAGCTGGATCAGAAGAGGAGCAGCCGGGACTTGAACCAGCACCCATATGGGATGCTGGCACTGCAAGGGGAAGCTTAGCCTACTATGCCACAGTGCCGGCCCCTGAATGCTGATTTTCAAATCCTTTGAGTATATATGAGTATTTTGGAGTAGATTGCTGGTCATATTGTGAGTCTGAGTCAGACGTATTGAGGAGTTGCTGTGCTGTTTTTCCCTCTTACCAGTGCTGTGAAGGCCCAGCTTCTGTGCCCCCTCGTCAGCACCTGTTACTCTGGTGTCTGTAGTGTACCATTCTGTACTAAAGTGGATGTGCCTCATTGTGATCGTGATTTGTGTTTCCCCACTGACTGATGATGTTGAGTATCTTTTCCTGTGGTTGTAGTTCATCTGTGTATTTTCTTTGGAGAAATGTCCGTTCAAGTCTTTTGTCTGTTTTACAAGTGGGCTATTTATTGTTGAGTTGTATTTATTTGGAAATCGAGAGCTTTTGAGATATATGATTTACAGATATTTTCTGCCATTCTTAGATATCTTTTCACCCTCTTGAGAGTGTCCTTTCCTGCACAGAAGTTTGTAATTCTAATGAAATCTAGCGTATTTGTTCTTGTGTGGCATGTGTGTTTTTGATCAACACTAAGAATCCATTGCCAAATCAGTCATTACCAAATGAAGATTGATACCTGTGTTTTCTTTGAAGAGTTTTATTTAGATTTTTGATCTATTTTGAGTTAATTTTTATGTGGTAGGAAGTAAGTGTTTATAGATGTTCAGTTGTTCCAATATCATTTGTTTAAGGGACTTGGAGCTCTTTTTTTTTTTTTTTTTTAGTTAGTTATTTATTTGAAAGGCAGAGTTACAGAGAGGCAGATGCAGAGCAAGAGAGAGAGGTCTTCCATCCGCTGGTTCACTCCCCAAATGGCTGCAGTGGTCGGAGCTGGGCCGATCTGAAGCCAGGAGCCAGGAGTTTCTTCAGAGTCTCCCATATAGGTGCAAAGGCCCATGGACTTGGGCCATCTTCTGCTGCTTTCCCAGGCCATAGCAGAGAGCTGGATCGGAAGTGGAACAGCTGGGGCTTGAACAGGTGCCCAAATGAGATGCATTCACATCAGTTTGCAAGGATGAAGTTAAATCTTGTTCATGTCCCTGTTGAAGGACTGATGATTAATACATAAATAGTAGCTGACACCACAGACATGTCTGTTGGTTCAGTTTACACAATCCTGACTGAAAGATTAAAGTCAAGTAAACTTTTACTTGATGGGTACCAAAACTCTTGTACCCAGATCTGTTGCCGATGAGCAGAGCTTTCAAGGGAAATTGTAAACAAGTGGGAAGCATTTCTTCAAGAATGGTTGTCAAAGCACAATCAAAGCAGTGGCTACTGAGAGGTAGAAGTAATGCAGGGAAAGCAAAAGTAGAGCAAAGGTCAGGGGCGGGTATTTGGCAGCAGCTAAGATGCCCCTGTGGAAGTCTGTGTCCCGTATCAGAGTGCCTGGGTTTGAGCCCCTGCTCTGCTTCCCATTCCTGCTGCCTGCTAATGACTTCAGGAGTAATAGATCAGGCGTCCTTTAGTTTGAGTTTAAGGTTTTCATATCAGATTTGAAAAATATGTGTGCATATATTAAGGTACTTTAAAAAGTTCATGGAAAGTGGATTTTAAATTTACTTTGCTGCACAGTTTTTTGAAATCATGTGCAATTGCATGGAGTTTAAAGGTGGGTGTGAGGGTAGCTTTCTGTAGAGTTAGGACTCATGTCTTTATTTATTTGTTTATTTATTTATTTTTTATTTGAAAGACCAGAGTTACAGAAAGAGGTAGAGAAAGAGAGAGAGGTGTTCCATCCACTGGTTCACCCCTCAGATGGCTGCAATAGCCGGAGCTGAGCCGATGCGAAGCCAGGAGCCAGGAGCTTCTTCCGGGTCTCCCACATGGGTCCTTGGGCCACCTTCTACTGTTTTCCCAGGCCATAGCAGAGAGCTGGATTGGAAGCGGAGCAGCCAGGACACAAACCGGTATCCATATGGGTTGCCTGCACTGCAGGCAGAGGCTTAGCCTACTGTGCCACAGTGCTGACCCCTGCAGAGATTCTTTTTACTCCAGGACTTGTTAACTGTTCTAAGTGGAGGCATCAGTCTGCAACAGAGCTGGGCTCTGAACTCAGGATGTCTTTCTCAGAGGTCTCAGGAACACCCTCATACTAATCTGGAGATTGGTAAAAACAGTTTTGCTGTGTGAGGAAAGTAGTGTAAAGTGCATGTCCCCCAGCCCGAGAGAACCCGGTTGGGGTTTTGGGGGAAATGGGCTTTGCCCTCTGTAGCTTCCTGCCTGTATTTAGCTCATTTTCTTCCGTTACCTTTGAGAGAGGGGAGCTAGCACATGGAGGGTAGGTGTTGGTACAGGTGAATGACAACCCTGCTGAAACAGCCTTGTCTCTCAAGATGTGCTTAGAGGGGCCGGCACTGTGGTGCAGCGGGTAAAGCCGTTGCCTGCAGTGCCGGCATCCCATATGGGTGCTAGTTCGAGTCCTGGCTGCTCTACTTCTGATCCAGCTCTCTGCTGATGGCCTGGGAAAGCAGTGGAAGATGGCCCAAGGCCTTGGGCCCCTGCACCCACATGGGGGACCTGGAAGAAGCTCCTGGCTTCGGATCGGCTCAGCTCCAGCTGTTGCGGCCATTTTGGGAGTGAACCAGCAGGTGGAAGGCCTGTCTCCCTCTCTGCCTCTCCTTCTCTCTCTAACTCTGACTTTAAAGTAAGTAAATAAATCTTTTAAAAAAAAAAGTGCTGTAGCTGAGTCCCCAGGGCATAATGTTTCAGAGAGCAAATATGTACAATACTTAAGAAAAATTTCTATATAACTATTTCTCATAGCTTTTGTTTTAAGGTTTATTTATTTTGAAAGACAGAGAGCGAGAGCATAGACCTTCCATCCATTGGTTCATTCCTCAGATGGCTGCAATGGCCAGCACTGGGCCAGGCTGAAGCCAGGAGACAGGAGTTTCATTCAGGTCTCCCATGGGGGTGGCTGGGCCCAAGTGCTGAGGCCATCTTCTGCTGCTTCCCCAGGTCGTTTGCAGGGAGTGGATCAGAGTGGAGCAGCTGGTACAGAAACTGGCACTCGTATGGGATATGGCTTTGCAGGTGGTGGTTTTATCCACTACGCCACAGTGCTAGCCCCCTAAATAATAGTTTTTAAGGCTTGGTTCTTTAAGAGAAGAAACAGTCTGTTTTAGAAAACTCCCATTAAGACCAGATGCCTTGCTGTTGCTGTGGCGACCTCCCACCTGTAAGTCCCAGGGAGGGGATGTGGGCAGCATAGCCCTGCCTTGTTCCTGCAGCACTTGGGCCTCAGAGGCTATGGGAGGGACATGGAGCTCAGGCAAGAGCAGATGCTTCACAGGGCCCTGTTGCCGGGTGCCTTGGTTTCCTCATTTGTGCATAGGCGGTAGTGGTGCCTGTGTCCAAGTGTTGGGAAGGTGTGATGTATGTAAGGCCTACACTGCAGCACCGTGGTAGCGACCATCTGTCACTGACATTGTCATTGTGTTCATCAACTGGAAGATGTTATTATTTATTTAATTTTTTTGACAGGCAGAGTGGACAGTGAGAGAGAGAGAGACAGAGAGAAAGGTTTTCCTTTGCCGTTGGTTCACCCTCCAATGACTGCCACGGCCGGCGCGATGCGGCCGGCGCACCGCACTGATCCGATGGCAGGAGCCAGGTGCTTCTCCTGGTCTCCCGTGGGGTGCAGGGCCCAAGGACTTGGGCCATCCTCCACTGCACTCCTGGGCCACAGCAGAGAGCTGGCCTGGAAGAGGAGCAACCGGGACAGAATCCGGCACCCCGACCGGGACTAGAACCTGGTGTGCCGGCGCCGCAAGGCGGAGGATTAGCCTATTGAGCCACAGTGCCGGCCTCAACATTATTCTTGTTTTTGTTATTTAATTTGCTTGAAATGGAAAACCGTATCAATTTGTTATCATAGAACATCTATTTCAACTTCTGAAATGCATGTAAACAAATTGGTTTTGAAAGCATTATGAAAGTTCTTTAATATTCTTTAAAAATACAGGTGACAGAGTAAGTTGAAAGCATTTTGGTAACTGTCGACATCCTTGACTAATGTCCATTTCAAAAACAAGTTTTTTTTCTTTCAGAAAATGCTTTTACAGAGTAGCTCTTACCTGCTCCATATCATATTTGTACTTTTTTTTTTTTTTTTTTAATCAAGGTCAGTAATACTATCCATTGTAAAATTGTGAAGGCCTGAGTTTACCCTCCTGGCCGTTGAAGTTTGGGTCAGGGATTCATGGGAAACTGGATTATACATTAATAAAGTGAAGCAATTGGGGTGTATCTGAAAGGCTGTATTTTCCTATAATGTATTTTCTCTAATAGGAAAGTCAGAGAAAATAAATCCAGTGTCTGTTTTCAAGAGGCTGGTTATTTAAAATGGATTAAGATGAACTTGTTATGATTTTATTTCATAATAGAGCAAAATTCTTAGTAATGTAGTCACTTGGCTAAAATCAAAATAAAATACAACCCCACCGCTCCTCTCCAAGAGTAAGGAATGTTTCTATCCCACCACCCAGGCACGAGTCTTTCCTGCCGTGGCCATGGTGACTGTCTCCCCTTGTGAGCGATGGGCTTCCCCGCACAGGGAGCCCCAGGCACAAACATTGGACTTTCTTGAGGGAGAAATTATTAAAGCAAATCCCTGGTCTCTGCCAAACACAAGATTTAGTGTGAGAAACTTGCTGCTTCCTTGGTGAGATGTGTCTTCCTTCATTACCCAGATTCATAGATTTGGGTTTTTCTGCTAATGCCTGACTTTGATAAGCTGCTTTTTGAACAAAACTGCCTATTTCTGGGTGTTATGGAAAGTCACTTCCCACTTTTTTTCCCCCAAAAAAATAGCTCCTTGGTTGTGCTTGTCAGGAGGTGTTCTCTGTGCCTGCTTTACTCTGCGGGCTGGTGGGCAGTTAGCTGCAGCTGTTGGGACCTGGCTGCTGCCCTCCAGGGGTGAGAGCCCAGCTCTGCCTCCCATGGTGCATTTCTTCTCTGCTCCTGCTGGTAACTAAGGTTGTTCTGTTAACTGATTTAGGTGAGCAGAGCTCTGTGGATTAAGCTAGAGATTAAACTACTGCTTTGTGAGAACCCCCCTCACCAAAAGGGCACTGCTCTGGGTTGGAGCCTTTGGAAATTTGAGGGTAGGACGACTTTGTGCATCTCACCTCTCTGTTTGCTGAGTCATCCCCAGTGGTGCTCCAGTACCACCCAAGAACAGGACCGACGTGTGATCGTGTGTGATTGGCGGGGCCCAGGCTTCTCTTGCCTCTGTAGCAGAAAACAAGGGAGTGCTGTGGGTGTGGCTGAAAGGCACAATTGGCTGAAGTCCCCTTGGGTGGACAACTTTGTCCTAACATTGAAAACTAGAGAGATTTGTTGTTGTAATTCTGCATAAATCTGTTTGGCTATATGTGACTTCCCCTGGTGGCATCAAATCTAACCATTCGGTTAACATGATTCAGGTATTGGCAGCCTCTTCTCTAGGGAAGGTGGGTGTGTTCTCTTGAATGTCACCCTACAGCAGTCCCAGTTGTTTTGTTTTGTTTTTAAATTTATTTATTTATTTGAAAGAATTACATAGAGGGAGAGGCAGAGAGAGAAGCACTGGTTCACACCCCCCAGTTGGCTGCAGTGGCTGGGGCTGGGCCAGGCTGAAGCCAGGCGCTTCTTCCAGGTCTCTCACATGGGTAACAGAGGCCCAAGCACTTGGGCCATCTTCGGCTGCTTTTCCCAGGCCAATAGCAGAGAGCTGGATCTGAAGTGCAGAAGCTGGGACATGAACCGGCACCCATGTGAGATGCTGGCATTTTAGGTGGCAGCTTTATCTGCTGTGCTGCAGCGCCAGCCCCAATTTTGGACTCTTAAGGACACATGCTGCTCTTGGTGACCATGCAGATGGGTTCTGCTGGTCTGCACCAGGCAGAGGACTTGTAATCAGTGCTGGATATGCATGCACTCAGATGTGGTGGACACTGGCGTGGCTTCAGCGCAGGTTCAGATAGCTGCCCTATCAAATGTTTGGTTTAGCAGATTTTTAACAACGGATCACACAAGTGTGAGTTCTCTGCTTCCACTTGAGACCAGACCCTGACTGTGACTGTCCTCAGGATGCACTCTACAAACTTCTTTCTGGGACATTTTACTTTTGCTTTTACGAAACTACGTCCTTGGGCCGGCACTTTGGCGTAGTGGGTAAAGCCACTCTGCTGCCTGCCATGCCGACATCCCAAATGTATGCTAGTTCAAGTCCTGGCTGCGCCACTTCCTATCCAGCTCCCTGCTAATACACCTGGGAAGGTAGCAGAAGATGGCCCAAGTCCTTGGGCCCCTGCCACCCATGTGGGAGACCCTGATGAAGCTCCTGGCTCCTGGCTCCTGGCTCCTGGCTTTGGCCTGGCCCAACCCTGGTCATTGCAGCCATTTGGGGAGTGAACTTGCTAGAAGATCTCTGTCTCTCTCTCTGTAATTCAGCCTTTCAAGTAAATAAATAAATCTTTAAAAATAAAATAAACTATGTCCAGGACATACTAAGTGTGTACTAAGTTTACTTTTCTTCCCACAAGTACATCCTGCTACACTGTGGAGCCCAATGGACTGTAGGTGTCTCATCGTCAAACTCACATTGGTCACTAGTGTAGGATGTTGGCCCCCACCAATGTCCCTCTCATTCCTTTGAAAGCTGACCTAATTTTTTCTGGGTTGTACAAAATGTTCCTAGCTTCCTGATAATACATAGTATACTAAGCTTTATGAGACTTCTTTTGACATTGAATTATGAAATAACTTCTTTTTCATTTTCTCAACAGTTGGATATTCTAAAAATCAAGCAATTGCACAGAGCTCAGGGTCTTACCTTTGCTTTTTGGATTCAGTAAGTAACTCTTTGTTTTGTTTGCAATGTATGTATGTATGTTAGTTGAATAATTGAGTAGTTGTACATTTTAGTAGGATTCTTTAAAATCATGTTTCTTTCCTTGAGAGGCAGAGTTACAGAGAAAGGAGGGGAAAGAGAGAGAGACAGAGACAGAGAGACAGAGAGAGAAAGATCTTCCATCTGCTGGTTCACTCCTCAAATAGTCCACAATGTCCAGGACTGGGCCAGGCCACAGCCAGGAGCCTGTAGCTTCTTCCAGATCTCTCACATTGGTGCAGGGGCCCAAACACTCGGGCCATCTTCCACTGCTTTTCCAGATGCTAGGGGAAGTGGAGCAGTCGGGTTTTGAACTGGTACTCATATGGGATGCTAGCGTTGCATCCCATATGGTGGAGGCTTAACCTTCTAGCACAACACCAGCCCTGGAAATCATTTTTCTAATATGGTCCTACTAAAAGCTGAGGTTAGTAGGTTGTTGGCGGTGTAATTGCCATTGTACTTAGGAACTTAATTAATTATAAATAAGATTACAAAAAGTGTAAAATTGCACAGCAGAGAACAGCATAAAAAATGAAGATACATGAGATGATATTGGCAAATATGATACTTAAAAGTGTTAGCCTTAAATAGAAATAATTCATAGAAGTGGGTAAGAAAACTAGTAGTAGATAAACGGGCCACAGGCAGGAGTGGAGGCTGGTGAAGGTGGACGTGAAAGTGACAGATAAACTTTTATGACTGTTTAAATCCTTTGTGAGCAAACACGAAGTAGTTAGACACATTTCTTTTCTTAAGATTTATCTGTTATTTATTTGAAAGGCAGAATCATCCATCCGCTGGTCCACTCCCCAGATGGCCGCAACGGCCAGAGCTGAGCCAATCCAGAGCCAGGAGCCAGGAGCCTTCTCCGGGTCTCCCTTGTGGGTCCAGGGGCCCAAGGCCTTGGGCCATCTTCCACTGCTTTCCCAGGCCATAGCAGAGAGCTAGAAAAGAAGTGGAGCAGCCGGGACTCGAACTGGCACCCATATAGCATGCAGCACTGCAGGCGGTGGCCCTACCTGCTACACCACAGAGCTAACCCTTAGACACCTTTCAAAACCAAAATAATAAAGCTTTGTGAAAGCATAAATTGTTACAGGGGTGGCAGAATAATTGCATTTTGTTCTGGGAGTTTAAAAAGCTTTGTGGCTTCGAGCATTGAATTGTACTTCTGAGTGTCTGTGAGAGAGACTTGTGTGCAAAGCAGCTTTGGATGATTTATCATGGCAGAAACTAGAAACAAGGTGATATGTGACGGTGGAGTGCTGCTGAAGACAGTCGTGTAGATCTGTGTGAGGGGTTTCCTGTGATGCTTATGAAGAATTCTTAACCACAGAACACATAATTACAGTGGGTGAAAAAGAACCTACAGTTGCACATTGAGGATATAGTCAGACATGGGTTTTTGTCTTCATTACTTTAAGTAAACTCAAAGACATTCCCTGGGTGTACTGCCGGCCTCCCCTTTGGCCAGGCCCCCCAGTGCTGGGAGCCTGGGCTCTGCAGGGCTTCTGTGTGTGCCCGCTGGAGGAGTCAGTTCAGGTTCAGAGTTTCTGCTTGTGCTGAATTAATTCACAGCTGAACCTCTCTTCATCCCTCATTGACTCAGCTCTTCTCCTCGACCTCTGTGGAGGTCCTGGCGCTTGAGGGGGAATCATGTGCCTATGTGTCTAAGCAAAGTGAAGCTGCATATTAAAGAGCCTTGCTCTTGCAAACAAAGCCAGGCTAGAGCCCAGAGCTGGGAACTCAAGCCAGGTCTCCATGTGGGTGGCAGGGACCCAAGTACTTGAGCCATCACCTGCTGTCTCCCAGGGTGCACACTAGCAGGAAGTTGGAATTGGAGGCAGAGCAGGGATGCAGACCTAGGTGTGGGTGATCCTGTGCCTGGCTGGGGGACTGCCTGCCTAGCCCATACAGGAGGTTAGGGTGGCCTGGCCGCTGGCAGGCAGCAGGAGCCTCAGGCACATACCCCCCCCCCCAGCACCCCTCTCCCCCATCGAAGGGTCTTTTAATTACCAATTAGGGAAACAGCTCTCATAAGTGGCCCAGGCCCATTAGAACCACCTGGAAAGCTACCATAGACTACTTGACCTTCAAGCTGATTGGAGAAGCTTAGCGGCACCAATATTGGCTTTATCCTATGAAATTAGTGTTGTCCTGAATTAGCTATGCCCCCCTCTGCCTGCCCTTTAAAAACTTATGCTTGATTGTTAATAAACGGACATATTCACCGAAACTTGTCTCTGGTGCTTCTTGTCAAAGAATGCCATTGCCCCACCATCCCAGCAGTACGGGCCTCGCAGGACCCGGGGACTCTGATATGGGCTGTGAGCATCCCATGTAGTGTCTTAACAGCTAGGCCAAACCCCTGCCCCGATGTGTTTTGATACTATTGTTAAGTGGCATAGTACAAAAAATTTTTAGGTTATAAATATATTAATTTTATTTTTGTATACAGAAACTTGCTATGTTCTTTTGGATTATTTATATTGGTGAGTGACTAATGAGAGTCAATTGTTTTCACCTTTCTTTTTTTAAAGATCTGTTTATTTATTCAAAAGGCAGAATTAGCTAGAGACAGAGAGAGAGGCCTTTCATCCGCTGGTCCACTCCCCAAATGACCACAATGGCTGGAGCTGAGCCGCTCCAAAGCCAGGAGCGAGGAGCTTCTTCAGGGTCTCCTGCACTGGTGCAGAGGCCCAGTGATTTGGGCCATCTTCCACTGCTTTCCCAGTCCATAGCTGAGAACTGGATAGAAAGTGGAGCAGCTGAGACTTCAACCAGCACTCATATGGCCACAGCACTGGCCTTGGCCTTTCTAAGCCTTGAGCCTTTTTTTTTTCCTAAGATTTATTTATTTATTTGAAAGGCAAGGTTATACAGAAAGAGGAGAGGTAGAGAGAGAAAGAGGTCTTCCATCCAATGGTTCACTCCCCAGTTGGCTTCAACGGCCAGCACTGTGCCAATCCAAAGCCAGGAGCTTCTTCTGGGTCTCCCATGTGGGTGCAGGGGCCCAAGGACCTGGGCCATCTTCCACTGCTTTCCCAGACCACAGCAGAGAGCTGGATAGGAAGTGGAGCAGCTGGGTCTCGAACCAGAGCCCATATGGGATGTTGGCGCTTCAGGCCAGGGCATTAATCCGCTGCACCATAGCGCCGGCTCCAGCCTTGGGCCTTTTACTTCTATTTCTTGTCACTAAAGTGATGGACGTGTTGATTGAGTCCTCCTGTTAGTGGTGGTGGACAGCCTCTCTGTTTACTTCTGTAACTCCCTCAGTGATATTTTGTAACTTTTAGTGTGCAAGTCATGGACTTATGTTGATAAATATATACTTGAATACTTTATTCTTTTGATACTATTGTGGATGTACTATTTTCTTTATTTTGTTTTCAGATTGTTCAGTGCTAGGGTATAGAAATACAGCTGATTTTTACATCTTGATCTTAAAATAGAACAATTCCAGAATTGGTTGAAGGAGTTGTCTTAGCATGCCCAAAACTGGGTCTGCTTTCCTCACGTGCTGAGAGCTGGTCATTGACATGGGTGGAAGAAGAAGGCATTTATTGCCAAGCACAGAGCAAGGAGTTGGGCAGCTACCACTGAAATCCAGGGCTCCCTGAGGAGTTAGGGGTGAAGGTTCTTATGGGTTGAAGTTGGAGTGAGAAGTGTGGGTTCAGTGTGTGTCTAGATTCCTGGCGGGGGGCCGGCTCCATGGCTCACTTGGTTAATCCTCCTCCTGCGGCACCGGCATCCCATATGCGTGCTGGGTTCTAGTCCCAGCTGCTCGTCTTCCAGTCCAGCTCTCTGCTGTGGCCCGGGAGGGCAGTGGAGGATGACCCAAGTGCTTGGGCCCCTGCACCTGCATTGGAGACCCGGAAGAGGCACCTGGCTCTTGGCTTCGGATTGGCGCAGCGCCGGCTGTGGCGTCCATTTGGGGGAGTGAACCAACGGAAGGAAGACCTTTCTCTCTGTCTATAACTCTACCTGTCAAATAAATTTTAAAAATGTTTAAAAAAATAGATTCCTGGTGGGTTAGTGGTGCATGTGGTCTTCCCTTGTTTGGCTGATGATACTGGGTTCTTTAGGGAATTTTTTTTTAGATGTATTTATTTTATTTGAAAGAGTTACAGAGAGAGAGAGGAAGACACACACACACACACAAACACATACACAGACCTTCCATCTGTTGCTTCACTCCCCAAATGGTTGGGTTGGTCAAAGCCAGAAGCTTCATCCAGGTCTCCCATGTGCATGCAGGGCCCAAGCACTTGGTCGCCTTCTGCTGCTTTCCCAGGTGCATTAGCAGGGAGCTGGGTCGGAAGTGGATCAGCCAGGACTCGAACTTGCACCATATGGGATGCCGGCACTGCAGGCAGCGGTTTAACCTGCCGCGATACAGCGCTGGCCCCACTTTTGGGAATTTCTGTGGTGGCCAAGTGGGCTTCAGTCAGTCTGGGGGCTGCATGTAGGTGGAAGTGATTTTCTGCTGTGGACCTGGAACTCCTGGAAAAGAAATCCAAGACAACATTGACCATCAAGGTGTTACTTATTGGAGAAATGGTTTTGTGAGTCCAGTAATTGGAACCTTGTAGGTGAGTTAATTTGAATAGGGGGTTGATTTGCTATCAGAAAGACAGAGAAATGACACTTGAAGCTCGGGGAGGGAGGGTGGAGACAGGCCTCAGGGTATACAGTGTCTGTGTTGAAGGCACTGTATAGGGGCTTAGTTTCAATCTTGTCTTCTGTGATTTTGTTGAACTTGTTTATCAGTTTTCCTTTTTTTGTGAATTCTTTGGGATTTTCTACATGTAAAATCATGTTGTGTGCCAACTGGGACAGCTTCTCTTCCTTTCTGAGCTGAGTGCCTTTTGTCCCCCTTCCTTGCCTAGTGCACTGAGCAGAACATGCTGCATGATGTGACACAAGTGTCCCTTGTTCCCAGTCTTGGGGAAGGCGTT